ACATAATATCTAATACACGTTGTACGACGAAGGGCAATTATCCCTGGCTACATTCCCGATTGGTTTGGTTTTCAGAACGAGCTCAAATTATCCACTAGAAAGTTGTAGAATGAAAATATTACGGGCTGCAGTAAACAAATGTTCGGCGTAAGCAAACACCAGTAAGTACCACGGAGCGTGTTTGAATACTTAAAGCTCAAACTGGTATGCCACGAGTGCAGTTGTTTCTTGAAGAAAATTAGTCGAGTACTGGTCGTGGTGTGCGATTTATGTGCTCAATTTTCAACGCGCATTAGACTTATCTTGCATTTTTGAAGAAGAAATGAATTTCAAAAGATTCCTCGTAAAGCGCCAACGACGCCGTTTTGTGTTCTAAGCATGTTGATGCAACGTCGGGAGAATTTTTCCTGTAAAAGCTTTTAGTATTTACAGATATTTTTAATAAATTAACACCGTTAGGTGAATATTTGGTAGAAGAAAAAACTCCGTGAAAATGCTACTTATTATTGCTCTATTTATGAACTAGGATTAAAATATATCTTTTATTGTAATGATTTCATAAGACAATATTTTCTTAGTAAACTTGATACCTAATCGTTCGATCAGAATTTAGTAATTCAGTGAGCAACAATCGAAGCTTTATCGAACATCAGTTGTACGTGAATTACGAAGCGCGTTTCGTATTCTTCAAAGTCAAGCCCCAAGTGTGTAGTATATCCCACGCCACGACACTCCAAGTTGGTTCCGAAAGTACGCGCGCATCATATCATCTGCGTGATAAGAAACGAACAGGAGCAGCTCGCCTTTAACGTTCGCTGTTCATTATATGACTTTGGCCGCGATGCACGCGTACATGTGACAGTGTAAAAGCTTCGCAGGCTGTTTGTCAGTGGGGATCAGTGTCAGTGGGATTGGTAAAGCAGATTTAAAAAGGAGAAAAAAAAAGCAGAGCGAAAAAGGAGGTGCTGCCTCTGCTCGGCTCGCACACATTATATTCTATTTACGGCGCGCGTCAGGCCACACCGCGTGAAACGCATATACTCGCACACACACGCACACTCGTAAGCGAAGATGATTGACCGATCGGTCGATCGTTGATAGGATTGTTGCCGAGCTGCCAAGTGTCGTCGTCGTTGTTGGGCACTGCTGATGCCGCTTGGAATGCGATTGTGTAAGTTGGGCATATATATACACGTAGCTCAGTACAAGGCAACGCTTCGCTTCGCAATTCACGCGGCGTATATGCGGCAGTCCGATGCTCTTTCATCGATGACGAGGCTTTATAATCGCACTCCCGGTATAGCTACCGACTTTTGCGTATTTAAGATTCGAGGAAATCAACGCCGGAGCTCGAGAACGAGCGAGAGCCGCAGAGAAAGAGCACGAGCTCTCTGAGATGTGCGCGCGCTGCATGATGCGGCGGCACCCGTTGCGAATTATTTTATATTGGCTCGATCTTCGGGGATAACGGGATTGATTAATCGCAGGAATTTTTCACCAGAAAGAGAGAAAAATTGACGAGCTAATGGATGATGGTACTGCAGGCGCTTCGGGATATCGATCACGAGAGCACGAGAGAGAAGTGCAAAAGCATTTTTATACGACGCAAAGCTCGAGTAGTCGCTCATACCTTACTGTGGCTCTGTGCTCATACGATATAAATCGACACTTTGTTTCCAAGTTTATTCTTTTCCCTCGCATATTTTAGTGATAATGCTGTTATTATCAGATGAAATTAGGCTTGTTTACTTGAAAAATATTCATTTGTTTAACGTCCGTCGATTGACCATTGGACCATGTCTATTGGAAATTAATACGACCTCAAACCATTATAATTACCACACATTGTCTCATCTCTTTGTCGGACTTATCAGCGTCGTACTCTGCGTTATCGAGTTATCTAATAGCGAACATAGCTGAGAGCAGACTCGGAATTTGCGGCTTTTAAACTACATCGTCTTGAGAGCTAGCCAGCGGTACATTATTCCGTGAAATTTATGCGTACAAAAACAATATTTTACGATTAACGTATACTCCACATTATATATTAACTTATTCAACGATGATGATTAAAAATCATCTCTCTGGTCTGGGCTGCGCGGCTCCATCCGCGTATAATGTACAACGTACATAGGCACGTAGATAAACGCGTGTAAGACGCGTGCGGTGTAAAATAGCCCGACATAGCTGTTATAAATTTTATCTCGCGCTCTCTATACGTGCAGACACACAAGCTCGAGCTTCTATACACGTTATACACATATACCAGTACGTGAGTGTGCGCGCGCGTGTAAAAGCTCCGAGTCAAAGGGAAGCCGCTTCGCGCAGCCACTTCCGGCGTATATCGTCAGCCCCACTCGCTCTCGCACATACACACGCACACCCGTGAACGGACTCTCGGTGCAAAATCATTACGAAGTACACTTATAAACGCGTGCGTGTACATTGGCTATTTTTCTTCGCTCCAGGCGCGGAGAGAGCCGAGCGTGTTTCATTAAACATCTATACCCTGACCGAAAAACCACTTGAGACGAGCTTAAATCATACATATGTAACAATCCCTCGCCGCCTTTTAGCTCGTGCTTCGATCGGACAATCAGGTTGGAGCGCGAACATGTATCCGCGAGCGCCATATTCTGTGCAAGGGGTTAATTGGAAGATCGTGTTTTTGAAATGAGTCGTCGCAACGATATTATAGTAACGTCGCAGACTCACGCGATCGATACGAAAAACACAATTTCATTTGGCATATTACACGGATGGCGGGAACAAAATCAATTTCTGAGCAGTCAATTTTGGATTATTTTTCTTTCTTTTTCGTTATTGAGTTATATCGTACGCGGGTATATATAAAGTTTTCGTCGTGAATGGGGGCTAAAAGCGCACTCGAGCTCGGGGCTTCGTACTATGCTTTCCGATAAGTCGAAGGTATCGATTGGTCGTGGCAGTTAAATTTATTCGAGAGGCCATTTCGCTGGTTGATATGGATCGACGCGAGCTTCTACCTAAAGAGAGGTGTACGCCGCTCGATGAGAGTGTCGCGATATCTGTCGCCAGAGCGTATATATAACCCGTTTCGATCAACTGTTCTGTTATCAGAAATACCGTAAAATTGAGTTACATTTTTCTATTACGCTAACCACGTGAAAAGTAAAATTATTATATTCTAAAACAAACGCGAAATGTTGGGCTTCGTTAAAAATACGACTAACTCTTCGACTTGTAAAATTTTTAAACTTATTAAAATATTAAAATCGTATTCAGAGTTTTTTTTTAACGAACTTGGCAGTTTTTGCACCCTTTTTGCGCTTGTGTGTGTGTATATGTGTGTGGTACCGATGCGCAAGAGAGGAAATCCTCTTTTACGCAATTTTTATCGCACGTATTATAATGCATACATAGCTCGTTAGCGTCTTTCCCATACTTTATGCCTGAGCAATAACTCCTCAAATACAAACAAACGAGTATAATTTCATCCTTGGCCTGGTTGATTTTTTTCTTTCATATTATATGTACGTGCGAAGCTCGTTTATTACGAACGCCTCGATTCCAATTATGTATATTATTATTTCACCCATTTGCATGGATTATTTAGAGAAAAAAATATTATTGTTCGTTCGACTGCAATAACGAGAAAAATTTCCGTGTATTCCAAATTTCTTTCAAGTAGCTACTTGAACTTTGAAAGCGTGAGTAATAATATTAATAATTTTTTACAAACGCGACTTTTGTGCCGATGTTTAAATACTCATAAAACTGAAATAATTTAATTTCAATTTCATTTCAATTATAAAACGTTGAATTTTGTACAGGAATCGATGTAACGCGCGATAAAACTAGTCGATTGGATATATTGCACATCGGCCGTTCCGTCGTTGATTTTTGCGATCATTATGCCTCGCGATTAAATACGTCTCGCATCATTGGCCGTGCGCGATACACATACAATAATAATCTCCCTTCCCCTCCAATACTCATCTATATCATTATCGAGCGAGAGAAGGTAGATGCCGAGCTGATATAAAAAAAAAAGAAAGAAAAAAAACTAGCTCACATTTACAGGCGAGACAAAAGAAATCCTCCCCTCTTGCGACTGTACCTTGTATATAGCTATATAGATTGCATACTCATACACATAGAGCCGGTACGCAGTCGGAGCCTCGGCTGCGAAACTCGCGAAAGAACGTGTCCGTTGCGATAAATCGCGTTTTCTCGCTCGCTGTCAGCAGCAGTGGCAACGGTGGTGGCAGCAACGCGGCAGTAGCAGCAGCAGCCTCCCTTGGATATGCGCGCGAGCGAGCGAGAGAGAGAAAAAAATGGCAGCTGCTACTATTCCTCCCCTCCCGTCGGGTGTCTCGCGTCGCTAATAACACATAGGCGTACGCCGCGAACAGCCTCCGACTCCGACGCTTTCGGAGGGGGCGGGGCCATCGAGGCGAGGGGGACACGCCCCTCGTTCTTTTGACGCTGGGGGGAGGGGAAGGTTCGATACTCGAGCGAGTTAAATGCTCCCCCCTCTCCAGGCAGAGCTCGGGTACGTGCAAATATACACACTCGGAGCCGTGCAGATGTATAGCGGTGGCAGGCAGCTCGCTCTCTCCCACTCGTTGCGCTGGCTGCGCGATTTTTCAAATCGTCGGGGCAATCGTCGCCAGCGCTGCTGCCACCACTACACTCCTATCTCGGTGTTGTGTGCAGGCAATATTCCGCCTTCTTCTCGCGCTCTCTCTCTCTCTCTCTCTCTCTCTCGGGCGCCGCGCCTTTCTTCGGCTCGCGCCCAGATAATGTGGGCTTCGCGCGAGAGAGCCAGTAGTGCGAGTGGATAGTGCGCCTCGACCCGGCCAGTGGTTGTAACCACGCCAGCGACACACGGACGGACGGACGGACGGCGCGCGTGCGGCACAGGACGCAACACAGCGACGCGATATCTCGCATTTTCTCCTTGTCGCGCTTATCGTCTGCAGCTGTATACCGCCACAAGTACTCGACAGTGCTCGCTTTCCTTTCTACCTGTGTCTCTCTCGCGTCCGTGTTCCGATTACGGTGTGATGTAACGCGTTCGTGCTGCAATTATGATAAGATTGTTCAAAAGTGCGCAAATCCTAGTTCGTTGATTATTTCGTTGTGCAATTTTATGTGATGACCCAGCGATATGAGTGGTACTTGTTATTCGGAGCAGCGGAAACTTCGCTTTTCAGCATTTTCACGATGAGGATTACGTGCTTGCGAACTTTGTTGTTACTCGTCGATCGATCGATGATCGCATTGCCCAAATAAAAACATTTGACTGCTCGAGTGATCGATGGTTAAAAAAGGCCAATAAATAAATAACGAAACGTGCTACTGATACTGTTGTTTTCCAAAAGCAATTGCGCGAAAAATAAGCGGAAAATCGAGGAAAAAAAGTGGAGCTGTCGCTCGCCGGATGATGTTGCTAGAGTCGCGCGCCCTCGCCGGTAGGAAGCAGCAGCTGCTCGTCGGTACTACCACCGCCACCACTGCCAGCAACGCCAGCAATCATCATCATCATCATCATCATCGCTTGCATTCACTGGGTCTGTCAGCCTTTGGCAGGCCGGATCGTCCAAGGTCTCGATCGTTGATTGTCAATAATAACAATAACAATAATAACGATCACGAAAGCAGCGGCCTGCACGTCGACGACGAGGACGACGTGTTCGCCGACAATAACTGCGGCGACGACTATTCACTGCAGCAGCGGCAAAATCGTCGTCTCATGCTGAAGATGCAGTCGTCGACTTCGGAAGCGGCTGCTGCCGCCGTCGCCGCCGCGAGTCAGCAGAACAATAATCTGGACGTCGAGCATCACACCGACAGCTCGAGCGCGAGTCCGTCGCCCAACTCGAGCTTGTTGAACAATTTGAACAACAACTGCTCCAACAGACAGTGCGCGACGGACTTTAGCATAGCTGCCATTATGGCTAGAGACACTAGACAACAACAGCAGCAGCAGCAACAATTACAGTCCAGTGCGACAGCACCCCCGATTCACAATAGCAGCAGAGAGTCGAGAAGTAGCAGGCATCATTCCGTCGGTGGAGGAAAATTACATCAACATGGTAAATTTTTATCAGTCATTTTCGTGCTCGTACGATTTATACATATTGATACGAGTAGTGAATAATATACGCATAGGCACGTTGACTCGATGTATGACCTACGGATTGTTTAGGTAAAATCATGCAAGTAAAAAAAATAATCATACAGGCTAAAATTAAATAATTCCCAAAGTTTGAGCGCACGTCTGATAAATGCGAAATGCAATCATCATCATCCGACATTATGTTTACGATAAGACATTTATTGGCCCTGTGCAGGCTAGTACAGTCACGAGCTACGAGTACGAATCGCTTGGAAGAGAGCGAGAGCGAAAGAGTTCAATCCTTTGATATGTTGCGGCAGAGGTGAACTTTAACCTTCCGTATATGCTTGCACATATCTCACTACATGCAGCTCTCTTCACAGTGAGAAAGATAGAGAGAGAGAGAGAGAGAGAGCGCATCATCATCAGATTATTACAAAGAGCGAATGTATACACATGAAGGGCCTTTAAGTCTCTCCTCCTCCTCCTCCCTCCCTGCCTCTTTCTCGATCTCTCAAGCCGACAAATATGTCGATCGATAATAATATTATTAATAATGATGATAATAATAAGAATGACCAGTCTTTAGTGTCTGCGGCCTGTGTGTACGCGCAGTGTGTAATGTACATCGACGATCGAAGGGCTTTTATACTCACGCCGACACACCATCGCCGCCGCTGCTCCGCGGTGTTCTCTCGCTCTCTCTCGATTGACACGCGATATATCGGACTCTATATATATAGAAAATCGCGGCGCGTTAAGAAAAATGAAAGAAAAAAAAAACTGTTATGTACCGTTGCGGTGCAGTCGGCCTCGGTGCACGTACACATTATAACGCGCGCGCAAGTTCGTCCGCGCGGGATTTATTGGCCGCGCGCATTTGGCGGCGACGATCGCCTGTATTCTCGAGCCGCAAGAAGAAGCGCGACTCGACGACGCTTATATTACAACGCTCCTCGCTGCACTCGATATAAACACGTGCGCGTGCCTAAGCGTGCAGTTGTAAATTTTTCGAATATCATTTCGGGCTCATTTGGTTAATCGTCACTCAACGCGCGTCTGCTCTCTCGCTCTGGCTAATTCTTATTATAGACAGCGAGAGAGATTGCGAGACGAAAATTTAATCCCCCGAGCTAGAGAGTCGGCCGAGCGCGCGAGACTGCTCGGAGTCGCGAGGCAATTATTTTGGCAGCGCGAGACCGAATCGCGCACGATCGCTCGCTAACAGCGGAATAGAGCTATACCATTTAATAATGTACACGTTTAGATCTATAAATAAATTCCGAGACTCAACTATATTATTATACGCAAGGTGCAAATATATTGCTAAGATGGGCGCGTATTTTAATTAATTATATTCTCAAATTCGCGCGGCATCGCGGCGAGTCTACGCCATCGTCCAAATGCTCGGCCACGACGATTTCACGCGCAACTCGAATATTATTTTCCATTTTATCGCGGAAAAAACGTGTGAAATGGATACATACTTTATTTCGCACAGCCTGCGGATAACTCTGTCACCGTTAGCATGATCAATCGACTGCGCCGATCGAGCTCGCAGATAAGATACATAAAAATGCACGTGAGAGAGAGAGAGAGAGAGAGAGAAAAAAAGGTCGGTGCAACTACTGCCGCGCACAGCGTACGCACTCACACACACACACACACACTGTCCGGTGCAGCGCGTTGAATTTCAAGACCCGCATGTATTATACGTGTATACGTAAACGCGCGAGCCAATCCGCAATGAATCAATTATCTCGCAGGAGTGATACGGTATTATGAATGCTGCACACGACGCGCGATATGCTGCTGCACTGCACACTGCACACGTCTGCGGACACGAGAGAGAAAATTTCTATATAAGCCCGTGTATATATGTGTGCCAGCCGTCTACATGATAATTATATATATGTATAGTATGGTGAAATTTAAATCTGACGTTGATTGCCGCTCCGCTGAATTATGGGGGAATTTATTTTGGTGATTAAATTAGCTGTACATATTTATATACACACACTCAGACTCACAGACGTACCTATAATATGCACGCACGTCGCTCTCTGCCGTGAATATATTTATTTGCAATAAAAAAAAAAAGTTTCGCATCTCCGTCATGGGCGCGCGTTTAATTTTTCGTCGAGAAATCGATCCTTTTTTTGTTACTCGCGTACTTTTAAATATTTGTAAATATATCAACGAAAATTGCGAGGTGTAAGAAATGTGTAGGTAGACGAGGTCCATTAGATGGCGCTGTTGGCTCTGAAAAATGCTTCTTTTTCCTGTCAAAAGAGCCGAAAGTTTCATGGAAGGCGACACTATAATTTAGTCACAAAAAAAATGTTCTCAGAGTCATTCTTTTCTCGAGTGGCTCAAATTTTCCTCAATTATTTACACTCATGCGTGCTGAGTGCAGATATACGAGATATTACATTAATTTGTGCTTCAGAAAATAAAACAATTTTCAGCTGTGTGCGCTGCTTTACAGAAGCATTATTTTCCTTGCTAACTGCAACGACTCGACTTACGCTGGTCTCGTGCACTCGAATACGTACGCGTACTACAACACAAACACAGCCAGCGCACACACGTAGATCGCGCGAGACAAAAGCTCGAGCACACAAGGTAATATACTTCTTGCCTCGGCATCGTCTTTTTCCACGAGGCGCACGCGCTCAGAACAACAAAGGAAACGCCAGTAACAGCGCGACGAAAAAAAAGGAAGCAAAATGAAATATTCAAAGATCGTGTGAATAAGCGTATGTAGCGAGCTAGCTCGAGCCGAGCGAGTGCGGAGGAGCATTTACGTAAAAAAATGTACTCTGTGTACATAAATATATACCTACACGCGCCGTGTACGTACGATATATATACACAGAAGCACACGAGTGTACATACATGTTTATGTCGCGAGAGAGGGTGCGGTCTCACGCGCGCTACTACGGCAGCCCCCGCTACAACGCGTATACGTATACACCAAAGTGAGTGTGCCTCGATAAATTAATGGCGAGACTCGTTTACGGGAGACTCTATATAGGCTCTCCTTTTTTTCTGCATTCGTTTTGTGGCTGCGTAAAATTTCGCCGTGTAGTTTTTATATTTTACTTTTATTTCCTTTATCGCCCAGAGAGTCGGAGAAAAGAGCCGAATATACACACGGTCGCTGATGTATTTCGGAACATGTGGGTGGATTTCATATCGGCCAATATGATAAAAAGCAACAACGAAAAATGTTAAAATTCGCGACACGACGTCGATATTACGGCAGAATGAAAAGATTTACACGAATTAACTAGGTGATAATCGATTCCGACATATTTATTATTATTCAAAACAGCCGGACACGCGCATCCTACGCAGACTCGACGACCATCATATTTGCCCGTTTATACGAACTGTACATAATACGCGTGGACAAATTAGCATCTTTTCCACCTAAAAAGACATTTTTCGATCAAGGCGAAATAGTATAAAATCCGCTAGGTCGTTCTCGGCTCTACAGTTTAATGTTTATACACAGTCGCAATGAAGCGGTTCGGTATATAGAGTAAATATAATAAAGTTTCCAACAACTGCGAGAGTCCACCAGGTATAAAAGCTTGAGAGATATCTAACACAGTTAAATTACGCATACATACATGTCCGAGCCTATACAAGAGCAACAAAAGTGGACTCATGTATACACGTACTCCAAAGGTCTTTAAGTGATCTTGCAGCTACGTTTGTAGCCGTACTTTTACGTCCACGTTCGCGGGTAATAATATTTAAATATTTTCCTTACCAACTCCGAAGTTTATCAATACGCTCATGCTCGCTATACTCTAAATTTTTTTCGTATCGGCCCTGCGTGACCCGTTAGCCGTTTTCCACGTATAATATTTGAAAAGAAAAGAGTTTATTTAAAGCTTCAATTTATTTTTTTTTCTCGTTTCGATCGTAAGGTCATCATTGTGAGCGAGAGCGTACGTGGATATACGAAAGCTTGTAGTGTACATAAATTATATGCACGATTCACCTTATGCACTCGTGTCTGTATACGTCATGCGTTCGTTGATGACAATGAGTCGCCATGACTGCACCTTGGGATTCGATCGTTGTTTACCGCGTTCGAGCTTTTTTCTTTCTTTTTTTTTTTATATTATAATAATATAAAAATATCCGTATCGCTTCGTCATCGAGGCAGCCGAAGAGGCGCCGGTCGTAAAATTAATAGCAAAACAAGTTGATAATGATCTACATTGAACTGATTATCTTTTTTCCTTTTTGTTTCAAAATTTCAAACTTTTTTATTTCATCAAATTTGTATTTAATTTTCAACGCACCAGCATGTTTATTTATGCATATAAGTGGGACACTCACCCGCAGTAAAATAAATATATAAAAGTTCGAACGACGTGAATACATAAAAAAAAGACAACATCATTCGAAGCATATGCGGATTGCTATATTATGCGAGTCGAAGATACAGACACCTTTGGGCGATGGATTTTTATGTTTAACGACGAAATATTAATATATATCCATATCAATCGTGTAGTTTGCTTGATTCGTTGCGAAACGCGCGAACATCCCGTCGTCACGCACTCACACCTATACAGGCTTGTACGAGCTTAAAATGTAGTTTATTCCGCGAGGAAACGAGGAAGAGACGATGACGATGAGCGAGACAGAATCTCGCAGGAAGGATCGACATCGGTATATAGGATTCGATTTCAATGCCATATACATTATTCATGATAATAAGCGAAAATATATTAATACGTCGTGAAACTGGCGCCGTTCGGCTAATAGTATAGCGTTCGAGTCGAGAGCGTGTTTATTTATTATCTAAATACACGCGTGCTAGTATAGACGAGAGCTCCGATCGCGCCTACGTATTATTATACGAGCTGATAATCGAGAATCAACCTTCCTATGCAGTTGGGCATTTTAGCGAAATTTTCGTCTACACGTGCAAACGCGGCCACCGCAGTCGCTTATCTTCGCGCTTCTGCTGCTGCTGCTGCTGCTGCTGCTTTCGTAAAAGCATCTCAAGAGCACTGCTACATGACGTACGCGTACATATTCGTGCAGGCGAATGTGCACGATTGAGTTTCACGAATCATCTGGAAATAGAACGGCAATCATTGGCAAAATAACATGTCCATATGCGTGTGCGTGCAGTTCGCAGCTCGGCGCGTTCACATGAGTCCGCGTGCGTGCAGTGAGCAAAAGAATTGCTCGCGTATACCTATATTACGGCCGACATGCGTGTGTACGCGCGCGTTTAAGTGAAATATGTAATTGAATCTCTGGGAAAATATAAATGCCGCCAATGTGTGTGTGTGTGTGTGTGTGTGTGTGTGTGTGTGTGTGTGTGCGCGCGCGAGTGTCAATCGACGCCGATGTTGGATATATATAATAAGATAATGTATGTACGTGCGAACGCGTTTCGCGACGTGAGAGGTTCGACGTTATTATCGCGCGCCACAGCTCTCGGATGTATCGTGTAACGCACACGCGAGGAGCGAGGATTTTCTGCGATCGCTCCATCAGATTATGGATTTCGCTAATTTGAGAAATTGCCACATGTGCGCGCGATGCACTTGCGACGATTTCGCGCGGATAAAATGACGCGCGCACACACATGCACTGATCATGAAGTCGTTTACAATGTTTATGCAGCGAACGAGGATTTTTGCGCGTTTATCTTAATTCTGCGCTGCTATGTGTATGCGTACGGGCGATCGAAGCATGCGAGTAACGGGAAATACACATGCGGATTTCAATGATACGACGTGTGCACACATTTATACAGAAACGAGCAAAATCGGAAATACCGCGTCGCTGCTGTCTCGTCGTCGTATACATTATTATACATAAAAAAAGGCCGTGCAGTAAACCGGCTTAGCTTTCTATATCTCGTTTTCAACACCAATCGAGCTTATAATCATTAATTTCTCAAAAGCGGAAGAAAAATCATTAAATCCGAGCGCGCTATAATATGCGCTGATCTGCGAAACTCGTGTTTATCCATATAAGAATTATAAAATAGTCCGTCTGACGAGGATGATGAAAGGGGCATGAATTTATGCAAGTTCCTCCGTCGCAGCTATCGTTATTATGCTTATTATTATATGTTCATAAATATTATAAATATCTGTTTTTGCGAAATTTTTCGTTTCCTAATCCAAATAAGCCGGGCGCGAGTTTGTAATCGACGAAAATACACGATATATTGCCTTCTCGTCTCGTGGCTAGGCTGCTCTTCTCGTTGTCTTGGTCTTGGTCGTCGTCGTCGTCGGCTGCGGCGTACATTTATAAATTGCGGACCACACGCGCACTTATACCAGCAACCAATTAGCGCGTCGAGCTGCTGTAGCCGTTGCTCGAGCATGTTCGAGAGGTCGAGGCTTTGACTTTTAGCCCACGAGCCCGCGCGAAATATATTATATTGTATAAATATCATTTTACAAGTGGCTTAAGTGTACGAACACGTGTGTTGCACGCTGCCTTACAAGCACGAGAGTATGGAAAAATCAATCGATTGGAGTCTGTGCCGTATACAAGTACAATACAAGCCCTTTGATTCTCGCCTGTATTCCTATATAAACGTATTAAAACTTGACTGACAGCTTACTGACGTTTCGTAAACGTGTTTGCGTATGTAACTACGCAGATCGAGCTGCTGCTGCTGCGAGGGGAATGTACGTATACCCTAGACAGAAAATGTATGTTACGACGAGATGATTATTTTTCCTTCGTGAGAGACTCGTTTTTGCCACCGAGAGAGCTCGTTTCTGCGATTATGACGCGCGCGACTCGCCGAGGACTCGTCAAGTATATCGCTGCTGAATTGACTTGCAGCTACGCGTCGCTGCTACTAAGCGTTTCGTTGCCTGCAATATCAAGAATCCCGTGCCTATGTTCAGGTATCGGGTTTTACACGTGCACCGACACATCGCTGTTATATTCTTTTTTCTTCTTTTCTGTCTTTTCGTTACACAGATCCTCTTGTAAAACTAATTTATCCAGTCCGATAACATCGCAGATATATAACACGCGAAAGCATCATGAGTTAAAATTATTAAGATTAGCGCCGCGAGACAAATGAAAATTTCCCACAGCCGTATCGCAAATACCCATATAAATGTCATCGAAAAAGGAAAGGAAGCTCGGCGCTGTTCGAGCGATGTTTTCATCGTTTCGTTCATTTGACAAAATGCCCTAGCGAAGTCGCAATTAAAGCTCGCACACGGATCGCTGTACATTATATAGGATAGCTGCTGCGCGCCGAGGGCCAGTATAATTGGGCAGTATACATAGAGCAGTGCAAAGCTCGTCGCATGGACCGCTGCTGCTCGTTCCGGTTTTCTGAGCGCGTGCCGTATCGTGAGCCTCGAATATAGTCTAGCTGCGTTTCCTCTTTCTGTCGTCTACGAAAAGCTGCGCCGGGCCCCCCCCCCCGTCTATGTACATCGTGCGTATCTATTATACTGTTTTGCCACTCGTGTATACTCTTCATTGCTAGCTCGGTTGAAAAAAGAAAGAAAGAACGAGAGGAGGGAAAGACGAAATGAACAAGTAGAGAAGGCAAGGCGCTCACGGATGAGCGCTCATATTGTCCGTTTTCTCAGATACACATGTGGTTGCACGCATAGGTGCTAGTCATGAATGTATACGAGGTGCAGGGGTCTAAACAATCGTTATAGCTTTTTCTTTGGAACGAACGCGCGTCGCCCGAGTAGCCACACATGTAGTTACCTCTCGCTTTTTCTTTCTCTCCCAGTGCGTCAAGCGCAGCTTATGATATACGAGACAGTAAGTTGACTTTATTTTCATATTATTCACGTATTTGCCGGGGCACGATGCGTTAATGGCGACGATCGTTGAACGACCACATAGCAAGTATCATATCTCGACGCATTAATTACCCTAGAAAATTCAAACTCGCAATTTTTGCATAATTACACGCTGCTCTGGTCGTATATACGTATATCGTACGCGGCGCTCCATATACTTCTCGTATATGATGTGTGCACGCGTGTATGTTTATAGGCACGACTCGCTGCGACGTATAGTGCAAATGCGCGTACATACATCTTGAAGTCGGCGGCTAACCGCGATGGCGGCGGTACGGAGGCCCTCTCGAACGCATATACATAAGCTGCATAAGTGTGTACGTTGAGAGCAAAAGAGAGAGAGAGAGAGAGAGAGCGTCGAAAACCATAATAAACTTGGTAATGGGCAGTTACGCGCTACGGCGTCGGCGATGGTGGTGGTCACACGTACTATAAACTGCACGCATACACAGGCAATACACTTGCAGCCCGGTCTACAGGAATTGGCTCTTTGTGTGTATACGCAGTGCGCGTCAGGTGCCGGCTATCAATTTCGGTATTATATAGATATATAATATAATACACGCGTATACGTAAGCGCGTCCTAAAGCTCTCTTTTGCAGTAACAGCGGCAGAAGCTTCGAATTAATTATCTCTCTCGGTCTCTTTCTCTCTTCTTCTATAATACCGCAGGATCTTCATTCTCGCTTGTCTATATGCACCGAGCCTGACGTCAGGGTGAACGTTCGTCTAAGCATGAAAAAAAGTATCGTCCTTGAACGAGGCTCCTACTTCTTTTTCCTTTTTTTTGCGAGTCACATTAATGATGTACGCAACAAATGAAGCTCAACGTATTTATTTCCTCGAGTACAAGGCAATATATTAGATTCACGCGAGCTCGCGGGCACGCATGTGATAGAACATCATAAATCCGTTTGCGCATCGCTTGGCTCGCATTTTATTTACTCGCGATACATCCCACACCGTGCATAGCTCCCTCTCTCTCTCTCTCTTTCACAAGCGCTCGCGACAATTTATTGGCTAGCAAATTATCCGTATATACCACATAAACACCATATTTTCGGTGTCTCATCTAGGCCTCGACTCCGCTCGAGTCTACGTTGAGAGACTATTATAATAACGACTCTTATTAATTGCGTATCCTATCTATATATGCGTACACTACGTCATATCTTCGCTGTGGTGTGTGTGTGTGTGTAAATAAGTGTGTAGCAGCAGTGCACGGCTAAAAGCTCACGCGCGCCTTTAAATCGACCAAATGAAACTGCCAACTTGGCGCATAAATTCAAATTAAGCTCGCTGAGCGTCTCCACGCATCTCTATTATACGCGTACACCGTGATCGTGTATATAGGTGCAGTTTGTGCGTGTGTAAGATTGTGCTTTGCATATAACGTCGGCCGCTCGCTGCGTTTCTTTTAACGCTCGACGCGACGAATAAATGCGCTCGTGCGCGAGAGAGCCTCGACGAAATTGAATTAATTTCGTTTGGCCGAGTGCGCGTGCCAAAAACGCCTCGCTGTGTACGTATGCATCGTCGCGATCCTCCACATTGCTGCATGCATACGTGTAGCGTATGTTGCAACTGTGTTGGAATCGTATTCGTTTGAAACAAAAATGAAGACAGAATATTTCTAGATGTATTAATTAGTCTGGTGACTGATTTTTTTGTCTGGGGAGATTATTGAGTCTCGTATACCAGTTTGTTGACAAAATGTAAACATGGATGATTGACTGATCTGAAAATATTTCTCGGCTGGAATTAATCTTTCTTAGAGATAATCTTTCAGACAAAACTCAACAATTGATAAGCTGTAGTCGAGTTATTTTTAAAATACTTTTCAAGCCGGCCGTTGAACGTGATTTTTTCAAACGAACGACGTGTTTATTTTGCAGAGAGAGAAGCCAGCACGTCGTCGAGTCGACCCTCGTCCCAGCCCCAGTCGCAGTCGCAGCAGCAGCAACAGTCGTCCCAGGACTCGGAGGACGAGCAGGAGACCGACGAAACGGGCAGCACGTCGGGAAAAGCGCCGTCGCCCCTGAACCCGCTGCTTCAGGAGCGCTCCAACTGCGAAGAGTTGCGGCACGTCATCTGTCATCTGGAAACCAAGGATCTCTGGGACAAGTTCAACGAGCTCGGTACCGAGATGATCATCACGAAAACGGGAAGGTCCGTACATTATATCTATAATTATTATACTCGGCACATAACGTTGATTGCGTTGTTAATTTATAAGCGTAAACTTAAAGTGATCGACCGAAGCTTTGGCTCGCAAGCAGCATCAGGGCCAAGATTTTGCAGGCAGGGGCTGCGCACGAACACGTATGCGTACAAGGGGCTGTGCAGCATAATACGCTATAGCTAGTCCATAGAAATCTCGATCCGTCCAATTTATCACAGGCTGGCTACGGGCGACGTACATTATAACGCATACATATACACATACAACGAAATTCGGAGAGAGAGCAATAGAAGAGAGAAGCAGTGGTGGCGGCGGTGTACGTCGAGCAGCACACGTAATCGTTTAGAAAGGGTTGCTTTCGCTCTTGTTGTTGTTATCGTTGCCACTGCTACTCGTGTACGGTGTATGCATACTCGGAAAGACATCGATTCCCTGCGGAGCGCCGTGCCACGTCGGTGTTGCAGCTTAAACGTAGCCGGGGCAGGGTTTCAACGGCCCAGTACGATCCGTCATTGTGTCAGTCTCTCTCTCTCTCCTCTCTTTCTCTTTCTCTCGGGCACATTCGAGTTAGACATTGTCCTCGCGTTATGTACCTTTTATAGCACATATGCAGCAGCGATTGCCGCTAACTTGATTCTTGGCTGAAAAATTATTTTACTTAATTAAACGAGAAGCTCGAGCGCTAAGTGCGTGATTGTAATTGTCGGAGCAATTACTGAGCAACCATACATCTTCCCCGTTATTCCCTTTATGCACTTGGACAAAATCAATCCATAGAAAACTGAAGTTGCGCCAGTAGTATTCTCAGCTCTACGGCACCCACGAGATGACGATCTACGTTACGATAAGTACGTGCGCGTTAAGGTCGAAGTCAATTCGAAGGCCGACTTTGGGCGTGTATAATATGGTTAAAGCTTATAGTATCCATACACGCGTATAGCCGAACGTATAAATACAATTGGAAGAGGGAGCTCGGAGCTTCTCTCCGTCTCTCTTTCTCTCTCGTCGGTGCGTGGCAGTAACGGCTTCATCGCGCCTACTGCGAGGAGCATATAGGCGCAGGCACGCGCCGGGCTTGTTCGAGAAAAATTTATCGCTCGGCAGCTCGACTTGTACTAACGCAGCTCTCGCTGGCGTGCGTATATAAATACATAAGCTTCGTTGTCAAAATATAGCCGAGCTTGTTTTACTCGCGCGGCAGCACACCCTGTTCGAGCTCTGCCTCTCGCGTGTGTATACGTATGTACTTGTGTACGTGTAATATGATGGATTTGTGTATGAACGGAGAGCCTAAAGGAACTCTCGACTACTTAATAATGGCGAGTACACGACCTAATAGACGTGCGGGGGGAGATACGATTAATTTGTTTTGAATAATCGACTTGACATTTAAGCCACGAGTGATTTGCGGCCTAGCTCATTATACATCATTTCGAGAAAAATGGCCATATTGTATCGATGATCTATCAAATCCTCAAGCACGAAGTACGCAAAAAGTCTATTTTACTTGTGATACTGGTATATTATAAGTAAAATAGACTTACTACTGTTCATAAAAAGGGCCAAGTACCGTGGCGTGAAAATATAATATGGACACGGGAATGGAAAAACTGAGCCGACACTTTTGCGATAGCAGCTCGACAAAACTTTTACAGCTTTGTATACAGTCGACAGTACACGATATCCCTGAGCTCACACCTCCCTCGAGATACGCCGGCGATATAATACAGTGAGAGAGAGAAGGAGAATCGGCTAATTAGATCTTGGCTCTGGCAGCTTTCCTCTTTCGATGTCAACTTACACAGGCGGCGAGCACTCGAGACTTTTGCCTTTCTCTCGCTCTCTGCTCTCTGTTGCGCGACGGCTGCTCTACAAAGTGATAATGAACTGCATCGAGAAGCTATCCGAACGTAAAATGTGCACCCCTCCTGTGTACGTAACACTCGAGAATAATTTGACGCTTGATGTACGTTTTAATATACTTTGTGAATAATTTTATGCCTTGCCCTGTACTTCGGAGGCTGTGCGTCCTCTAGGCAAAATTGATGAAAGTCTGCGATCGGATGCAATTTGACAAAATACATGTACACAAAAGCTCGATGTCGATGCAGAATTACGCGTACGCACGCGAGTTTATAAAGTATCCAAAAGAAGAACATCTGCGAGGGAAAAGTTGTACAGCTCGAGAGAGATAAGATCGGCGGGTGTCCACCTCAGCGTGACGTCTTTTCTTCTCTCAAACTGCTGCTGCTGCTGCTGCTTCTTCTTCGCGAACTCTGTCGTACACGATCCTTTTCTCTCTCTTTCTTTCTTCCTCTTCGAGACATTCATATTGCAGCAGCTATATTTTTTAACTGCAATGCTGACGACGACGACGACGACGACGCGACGCGACACTTGGGAGGTCGCGAGCTGCTGTCGCTACAGCATAGCCAGCTAATATACATGCAACCTCTGCGAGCTGTTATAATATATTTATGCCCATCGCGCGCGAAACTGCTATTCTATAAACTATAATAACGTCGCAAAAGTTTATAATTTTTACCATTTTACTAGCGCGAAATGCGCGAGTTTATGTTTCAACCTTAACGCGCAAACAATTGCTTTTTAATGAAAGCTGCGATACAGATCTGCACGTAGCTTCTTGTTGATCTCGACAAGGACGTATCGTTCTCCTCGAGCTTGATCGTTCTATTTCTAAGAACGTTTATAATTTTGAATAATTCAACGAGTTTACAAAGTCTTCGACTCAGATGTACATTGGAATGTCGAGTCGCGCGTCAACATGAAATAATCATGTCACATCAGGCGAGATGTAGCAAATTCGAAAAGTTATTTTTCCACTTTTCACGTGCACGTCGCAGAGCGCGCCGTTTCAAAAATCATTTTGAGCAATAAAACGTATGTTTGTCAAACTGCCGCGTCACTTTTGCTTGATAAACATTACAAAGTAAACAATTCCGATGCGCAGCACGCGATTACTACCTTGGCTCGAGAGTCATAGTAGGTGTAAGCAAAATTTTAATAACCGCACGTTTAATACGATCGCACACGTATCGCGTGTCTAAAATGTTACCCACTACAGCTGCAGTCGTTTGTTAAAATCGCTTCGAAATCCGACAATTGCAAAATTAAACGTGCTCGCTCGTACGTACATAGCTCTATTCTCGATCTTTAAATGGCCTCTTCTAAACGCGGTCTCGACGACGAATAAATCATCTTTCTCTCGCTCGGGTTTTCCAAGTTATATACTCTGGGTGCGCATATACACTCGTACTGGCACGACATTTATACACATATATATCGTGTGATACGTGAATGAGTGTGTGTGTGTGTGTTGTGAGCGCGAGGCTTTCCTTGCCACCGACGCCGACGCCGCCGCGCTAATTAAATGTCATTAGGTACCGTTCATCAGTCGGTGATTCGCAGCCGCGATAGAGGGACTTTATTTCGAATGATTAATCGTCGCTAGGCGCTCTTTGGCACTATGAGGCGAGGGAGACAGATAACCCACCAATTAATCCTTCCTAGTCCCGCCGTGTACCTTCTCTTTCTCTCTCTCAGTCTCTCTTATCGCATTTCCATTTTCGCGCATCTATCTAAACCTGTGCTGCGCGCACATCATATGTAGTATAGCAGACAGCAGCAAAACTATGCTCGCTTATTATCGCCCTTTCTACAGAAACTTGCTTCCTACGTAGAGACTCGGAAAATCGATATTATGTGTACACGTACTCGTCGCTGTCGTGTTGTCCTCGACACTTGGCACGACACGGCAGTATATAGATTTTCTAATTTTCTAACCGCCTCGTGCGAATGTGTACACGCGCTTGCACACACCGAGTGTAAATCAAAACACGGGCGTGCTGCAAAGTGCTTTATCGAAAAGTAAAGAGGCTGTAGGAATAATAAAAAATTAAAAAAAAAAAAAAACGTCAACGTTTATGGCATTTGCGAAAGTACATTATGGCGAGTCGCGTTAGGTCTTTGCGCAAGTGGAAAGTACTTAAAATGTCGAAGCTTTAATGTAATACAGGTAAGCGTATACGAGTGCGCGACGTTTCAATCGTCATGCGCTAGTGCGATTAGCTAGCCCAAGTACTTCGCACCACACACGAGTGCGCGTAATGATTTCCATCGAGAAACTCAGCGCGTATATTATACGTAACGGTAATGAATATCGCATAATTTTTTGCGTGTCCTTGATGTTTGCAGGCGCATGTTCCCGACTTGCAGAGTCTCGTTCAGTGGCCTGAGGCCCGACGGACGCTACGCCGTGCTCATGGACATTGTTCCGGTAGACGAGAAGCGATACCGATACGCCTACCACCGGAGCTGCTGGCTCGTGGCCGGCAAGGCCGATCCACCCGCACCGGCGCGGCTCTACGTTCATCCGGACTCGCCGTTCACGGGCGAGCAGCTGAGGAAGCAGGTCGTGTCCTTCGAGAAGGTCAAGCTCACCAACAACGACATGGACAAACATGGACACGTGAGTCACAGTTTTTCCCTCGTTGATTGTTTCAACGATACATTTTTCATATTTTGGGGAAAAATTTCGAGGATCGCTCGTCGATCGCGACGTCTCTTAATTCATATTCATGCACGTGCAAGTGTTCACGTGACAGCTGCCTGTATTAGAAATGATCGCACAGTGGGAATAAAATTATTATTATTAGTCGAGCGACTGTAGTGCAGGCGCACGCAGGTGGCAGGCGAGCGGCACTCGTATAGCCCATTCGCGTGCGGCTGCATTACGCGACGAGCTTCTGCTGCTTGCCACTGCAAGGGTGCACGATATTCGATTAGGAAATCTTGCGAGCGCGCAGACACTCGTCAGACGCGTACATCCTCGGCAGCCGTCGCGTCGCGCTGCAGACTGCAATTACGTTTTTCTCCGTTCGTGTCAACCGCGCGTGCCGAGAGAGCCGCGTCGAAGGATTTCACGTGTACGCGACTAATGTATAGACGCGACGCATGTCGAAAAGAAATATTTATAGAACTGTGCTCGAGCTTTGAAAGTAATTATCACTTGGATTATTCGATCGTTTTCGAGAAAATGTTTATTTTTACACCGACAATGTACGGAAAAAGTCGCGCTAAAATTTACCGCCTCCTATAAAAATAGCGTGCATAGAATCGCGACTTTTCATAATTCGATTCACCGAGTCAAATTTTACTCGGCTTGCAGAGCTACATAGTGATGGTGTAAATATTATGTATCCTATGCCAAAGGAAAGGAATTTTACGCTCCACGAGAGAGACAGACTGGCGATTTTAAACGCTACTCGCGAGTGCACTTGCATAATACAAGTGTTAATTAGCTCAAAGAGCTGCGGGCTTCTTTGGACGAAAATAAACGATGCGCCGCAACGGGGATGGGAGATGGTTCGCTCTCGGCTCGAGACAATGAGAGGCGCGTATTACATGCATACGTATTTGAGAACGACACCTTGCTGGAATATCACTGACAGCTCTCAAGCCCCGCGGATTATGTACACGACTTTTGTCTTTTCTTTTTGACTCAACTCGTATATTATGCTGTTGATAGAATTTAGAAAGCGACAACTTATCGATATATGTATTTCTTCGTATTTATATGCAGCGGATTTATTCGGTCGAGTTGCGCTTTGAATTTCAATTAAAGCGAGCGAGAGAGAATATAAGCCGAGCGGGCAAGATAAAGAAAAAGAAAAGATTAAAAAGAAGGGACGAAATGCACGAAGAGGCGCGTTTATAATATGTATATGAGGCCCGGCTCGAGACGAAGAAATGAAAAATAATTAATTGAATTTCCAGCTCGTTCTGAACTCGATGCACAAGTATCAGCCGCGCATTCACTTGGTGAAGCGCTCGGACAGCGGCGGCAACTCGGATCCGATCGAGGACCTGGAGCGTGAGCTGCACAAGACCTTCGTATTCCCCGAGGCCATATTCACTGCTGTCACCGCCTATCAGAACCAGCTCGTAAGTCCACTTATATAATTTCTTCTTCTTCTTTGCTCTCCTCCAAATCATCGTCGTCGTCGTCGTCGTCGACTTGCTTGTTTTATTTCAAGTTGCGCGCTCCTACACTTTATTCTCTTTCCATTTTTTTTTAATTTTATTTTCATATTGCATGTATACCCTGTGTGGAAGAGCTACTGCATCTTCTTCAATTTCGCGCGACTGCGCTACCGTTTCGCTACGTTCTCTCGTCCTTTCCTACTCCTCTTCGCCATTCATTTCGTTCTTATTCATTATTTTTTTTTACCAAGTCATCTCTTCTCGAATTTTTGTTCCTCCAAGCTCGCGGATTGCAGCATTCAGGAATTGTATTTTCTCAGATATTATATGAATAATTGTCGCCGATGATTTATGTGCACCGAGCTCTGTCGAGCATATTTATACAAAACTACGCGCACCGTTAAGTTCACCGCGTGCAGCCTAGAAATCCAAAATTTTTTCGTCCATCCACGATATCTGTATTTTTAGACGTCTATATAGTCACGCAAAGGAGCGTTAAATTTACGAGCCGTTGCTGATCCACACACTAAATTCCGTTTATCTACATATATAGGAGGGAGAATCGTGTGTGGGCCGTGCGTGCCTACTTTTTTGTCCCTCGTTTCCGTAAGGAAGAATTCTTTAACGCCTCGTTATCGCTCCGAAGTCCGGAGCACACACATACTCATACACGGCTCGCGCGCGCGTGCTCGCCGATAGACAGATGAGCTGTTATTGAGGGTATCACACGCGCGCACAGTGTGTTTCTCTCCCGGGCGCGTTTTGGGTTTATTCTTGGAGGATGGCCTGAACTCGGCTTCTGCTGCTGCCACTGCTGCGCTTCCGATATTACTATATATTACGCTCTTCTTCAACGATGCGCGGCCTCGGATTATGCAGTGATTTATCGACACTTTCGACGCATTTGTTGTGTTTTTTTTATCTCCCTATACGAATTGGCGATCGGTTGTACGTTGAGGCACGTTTACGAGAGGGAGGATTATGTTCTAGCAGCAGGATAATCAAAATTAATCCCGCAAAAAAAAAAGGGAATTTTCGAGTTTCTAGAATGAGCAGTTGTGCAGCGGTTGCTCGATGTACTCGATAAATTTGGAGCTCGTCATATTATTATGAATATGACCGGTCGATGCATTTATTTAGAGTGCGTTTCAAAGCCACAATACCGCAAGTTTTGGATAGGGGAACACTTTACGATGTTATCTTTCAAAATATACCTATGTTCTCTACACTCGCGAAACAACCATGTATCGGAAATTGTTGTAATTCCGATTGGGAGCTTGGGTTTGTTCTTAGTGCTCGAGAGAGAAGAAATATCACGCGCACACATACAGCATCGACAAATGTAATGGGCGTGCATCCACACGTGCGCGCAAGAGTTTGCTTCCTCTAAAAAAATTGCTCGATGCGACAGTGGCGGGCGTCACTTTACACCGGATTCCGGTATTATATGCACGAGTTTCGGGGTGGTCTCTTGATGAGGTGCGAAGAGACAGAGAGATTATTATACAGCTCTTCTCTTTCTCTCTCTCGCTCTCACCGGCAAGCGTGTCATTATCGTTTCTCAGCTTCTCTTCGACGCTCTCTCTCTCTCTTTCTCGCGGCTTTTATTGTCGCACTCCCAGCAGCAGCAACATCATCTAGTGGCTCTATACTTGGAAATCGACTAGTCGCGCGAAGATTGCCTGTCATTACCCAAATACCGTCTTTAGCAGCGGCAGCAGCAGCGACGGCTCTATATAGTGACAATGCGCGAAGATGAGCTATTATTACCGACGAGCAGCAGCAGCAACAGTAGATCGTCACTTTGTTTGCGCCTCGGAATATTATTATTGCAAGCCCGAGCGATGCGCGGCACGGAATTATGTGCTTCTGGGAATATGTCTTGCCGCGAGATCGACTTTATGATTTTCAACTTCCAATATACATCTATATCTCTGTGCTGTAAAAGCTCAAAGTATTTTATATTATTATATTGCTATTGCTGCTGTTTTATAGATGCGCGCGGGTGCTTGATGGATTTTTTTTATTGCAGCACCGATCCAAGAGAAATAGAGATATTATTAGGAGGTGCGCATTAAAATAGCCATCATTATAAAGTCGAATGGTTTGCGCTGCGCGTTTAATATGCTGAGGGGCTTTGTTGAAAGATTGTAACATTCGCCGAATTTTGCCAATTGTATATTTTACGCATCATATATTGCTACATGCATTCTATTCTCTCCTTTTTACTCGCTGACTTTTTGCCTGTTGAAAATTGGGAGAGTGAATGAGGCATGTTTTTGTGATCCTTGGATGTGTCAACGACTTTCATTAGAACTTGATGAAATTCGCACCATATGTGTATATTCGTCAAGAATATTATCATCAGTGCGGCAATTTTTTTCCTCTTTGAACGCGACGACAAAACGTAATATCCCGTAACGGTACAAGCGTTTCGAATAATCTCAGATATAATTTATAACACCTAAGCGCTTGGCTTCCGCCGAGGTTTGACTTATTTTTTTTTAAACATCGCCTTCTAATACAACGTAGACAAAAAGTAAAAAAACTAAAAAAGCAGAAAGAAAGAGACGCGAATGAGAGAAAATATTCGTCTACTTTCAACGAGCCGCAGCCGCCACCACCGCCAGCAACGCTGTCATCTTTTTTTGCCCTCTGCTTACGTTATAATCTTGGCGCTAGACTTTTTTATGCCTACACACAGACATCGGAGACGAGCACATGATTTGCTTTGAGGGAGATGAAAGCTTCTCTATTGAGTGCTGAAATCAGGGCACGGCTCAGACCAATTCTAAAAAAACCTATATCAGAGGCTTGATAGATCGTGAGATATTTGACCCAGGGAAAATACTCAGCCTAGTTTGCTCGCTCGTTTTTTTTTTTTTTTTCGTTAAAGAAAATATTTGGCCATGCTAATGACTGCTGCTTTTGTCTTCGCACTTGTGGCTCTAAGCACAACATCCTTAGTCGTTTTTTTGCTCATTCCTTGGAAGACTGTACAGTGCTCAGTCTTTGAATATTATACAACAGCAACACTCGAGATTTCTTCATCGAATTTGCAACTTGACATCAAATTATGCGCTTATAATATATTTTCTAGCTCTCTTTCGTGCTCTATTCGGATATGTGAGTTCCTTTTTTTCATATCTCGACCCAGTCCATGGAACACATCTTTATTAAATAAGATTGGTTGTTTTCTGGTACAATTCAAGTTTCACTAGTTGGTCTGTATTAAAGAACGAAAACAGCCACCAACCGTTACGGGAAAATAACTTTTTGCCTCTTTGCGTTAAACATATGCAGATTTATGGTTCATGTATAAAAAAATTTGGATTTGCAGTTTTTCATTTAAATTCTCGCGATTGGGAGAACCCAATAAATATTGATTCCTGATCGCATAAGGGCTAAAAATATGTATATAACAGGCTCCCAAAGCTTATTCACCGCAATATAATTGTGCCAGCTACGTCGCGAAATTTTTCGTAAAAATTTTCTCGTTACGAAGACAGTAAAAACGTTTAGTACGGCTCTGCGAGATCGTAAAAGCTCTTTGCGAAGTCGGTGCGCGCGTGCAAGTCTGCTCCTCTCTTTCATGTGGTAATTTACGAGTGTAGCGTTAACATCATTTTTCCTTCAGCGAATGTACACATGTATATGCCGCGGACGAATGTACGTATCCGCGATTACGATGAAGGCGAGAGCCAAAATTTTCGGCTACGACTATCTGCAGTAGCAGCCGCCGCCGCTGCTGCTTTGATGGTGCTTTTCTGTTTTCTGCTACAAGCTCTCATCTCGCTCGCTGCTCTTTGACTCTTTGCAATTGCATGGGCGAACCGGTGTTGTCATGCACAGCTCTCATATAGACATTCTTGGGGCTTGTAACGCGCGAGCTACGACATTGTTTCGAGGCCGTGTTCGCGTTCGTCATTACGTCTGGAATCGCGCCAAGACCTCTCGTATAGCCCTTAGAAGCCATGTGACAAGACGCGACATTTTTCCTCGCGTCGAGTTTCGAGCTAGTGCTGTTATGTACGCGACTGACTTTTCCCTGTAATTTGTCGAGATCTTTTGCTTCAAGGGTTTATTATTTTTTTGCTCGATAAATCCGAAAGTACATTCGATCGTAAATGGAAAAGCGAAAACAATAAAGCAAAAAGTTCGTAAGAGTCCAAGACGTATCTATGTGGTGGTCGTCATCGTCGTCGAAGCGCATTTCTCTTTCAAGTTGGCTGTGATGCAGACGACGACAACGACAGCAATTCGCGCCTCTGATTATCGGACTCGCACGCACGCAATGTGGCAGTGTTTCGCGCCTTCCGGCATTTCCGGCCGTTCTCAAAGCTCTTTGCGCGTGCATATACAGCCTAGCTACTGCTCGGGTTCGAACGACGAAAAGCGAAGGGCGAAAAAAAGGCTAGCACAAGTAGCGCGTAGACATACGGTGGCAAAACGAGCGAGAGAGAGAAAGGCATAAATAATCGCTCGGAGCTAAATGAGACAAGAGCTGCCGCTGCCGCTGCGCACAGCCACACACGTAGACGACGCCCGCGCGCTGCGCTCACGCCTGCCTCGACGCGCAGCTCGCACTCCGTCCATGCATGCATCCACGCATGCATTATTATACACATGTACTCGCGACTGCAAACTGGATACGCTCTTGTGCATCGTCCAATTATTTGAAAATTATTACTTCATTGTCGTTTTAGCGAAGCTCGCGCGGGTGAATATTTATAGGTGGATTATTTCGATTCAGCGTGCCCCGACGCCTCTAGCGCTCGAAGAGAGGGAGAGAGACGATACGAATTGCAAGTGCATATACAGATCGGCACGAGCTGCACAAGTGCCAATGCGTGCCGCGGTTCTTGCGAAACAACGCAGAGATCGAACTGAATAATTTGCAAAATTTGACGATCGGATGTACGTGAATTATGCGCGTAACGAAGCAAAAAAAAAAGCACGAG